TTGGGGAATATGTACACACACACACACACACACACACACACACAGCTCCTGGAGTGGGTGCTCACCTACTCTAGTTTTGTCTCTCACCTAACTGGCCTCAGAATCGAGTTTACCTGGCTCCTTATTGACATCAGTTTTGTACCTGGCTAATAAATTACTTCTTTCCATCCTAAACACTACAGAAGAAGCCTTCAGCAGTGCCTGTCTGTTTTAACATACACCTAGAAAAAAACCTCTGAAAGTGAAAGAAATTGTGCTCTGCAGTCCTCTGTTTCCATGCACATAAGGATGAGTTTAATTTCCAATTAGTAGCTCACCATTTTAGGAATACAGAAGTTGCTACTTGTGGTGTCTGTCCATATGAACAACCTGACTGTTAAGATTCATCAAGGAAGTAAAAGGCATAGGGACACACACAGAATCAATTACAGTAATTTTTTTTTTTATTGAGTTGATTGTTATTTTACTGGACACATGACAAGTCCATCAAAACATGTCAAAGCCCTGTTTTTATGGACAGCCGTATTTGTACCTTGGTCTAATTTTATGGGCTGTGATAATACTTCTATGCAAAGAAAAATATTAACATCAGTTCCATTTCAAACTGACAATTCAACCACATACTACTTCTAAGCATGGCCTTGTTCTATTAATAAGTTTATTAGAATTGGGTAAAAACGTATGAGACTAGAGTTGAAAACAGTACTAACATTTGTTAAGTGTATTGTACTATTTTTTTAAAGATGGTACATCTAGAAATATCTGTGAGCCATTAGTTTTATATGTTTTTAGTAAAATAATCATTTAAATGGATTAATGTAACTTTAGCTCTTTTAAATTTCCTAAAATATCTTCTGAATCCATAGAATACTTAGGGAAAAGGAGAGAGTTGCTTGGGGTCATCTACTGTAAATCTCCACATTAAAGAATTAAATAATGGTTCAAATTCATTCAGGACATTTTCAGAGTGCATCAGTAGCACATTAATTGCTTAAAAGTTGAATCATTAACAAAAATATTTTCATGTTCCACAATTGATCTCTGAGACCATACAAGTGCAAGAAGAATTCATTTTCGTTTGGGGGAGAGATAATTTAACCCAAAGATATACTAAAGTCCTGTGTAACAAAAACATGATAATGGTGTTTTTATTACATTAAGGGAGATTACTGATATAAAAAAGAAAAGAAAGGAAACAAGAAACTTACCATCAAACACCTCCAGTGCATCAAACTGCTTTTCACTTTGAAATGTATCCACAAAGATGGTGATGTTATAGTTTGGTTCCACTTTAATACTCCATGAGCACGTCTGGGAGTTAAAATAGTTGCCTGGGTAACCTGGGCTGAGGATGACTCCAGAAGATTCTGTCCGGACTTCATTTGCTGGGCATTGCGCTAGTGAGAAAAATACCAGTAAAAATTTTCCTTAACAAAATGAACCTGACTTCCATAGGAGAGTTTCTATCCCTATATTTACAAGCCAATGGTGGCAGCGGGAGAGGGGGTGTGGAGCTATCCTACTGAGCTGTGACCAAATTTAATAAAAGAGACAAACACAGCAGGAGAAAACCACTGAATAATGAGTAATTATCATTTATAATAATTATACCGACCTATAATTTAAATGAGATTTATATACACGTATGTAATATACACGCCGATATACAAGGTGATTAGATAGACAGATCGCATTTACCTCTTTGATAGATCAAAGAGATTAAGCCGCTGACACCAGGGCAGCCAACTTTGATAAAGCGGTTGGTTGAAAGAAACCTGGACCCTGAAAGTTTTCTTTTTCTGGAAGTGGTGGCGAAGCACACCCTTGCCCCTGTTAACCCGTGTGAGTGAGGTGAGAAGCAGCCACACAGGAGTGGTTAAAACTACCATGTGCCTCTCGCTCTGTGACGGAATTGCCCACACACCTTCAACTGGGGCAGGGATCCTAGGATCCCATGTTTTCCCAACTCACCTTTTCAATGTAATATCGCAGAAACATTGTGCAATTATCTTCAGTAACAGAAAGTGATACTATTTATTTCTTCCTTTTAATATAATACTTTAATATAATTTAATACTTTTAATTTCATTTAGAATAGTAAATTTTAGGGGCACCTGGGTGAGTCATTCGGTTAAGTGGCTGACTTCGGCTCAGGTCACCATCTCATCGGTTGGTGAGTTCGAGCTCCGCGACGGGCTCTTTGCTAGCCTGGAGCCCGCTTCAGAGTCTGTGCCTGCCTCTCTCTCTGCCCCTCCCCGACCCACACTCTCTCTCTCTCTCAAATATAAACAAACAAACAAAAAAGGAATAGTAAATTTTACACATGTGATTTGACTTCTTGGGACTGTGATAAGAGATGAATGAGAAAGTTCTGGGCCGAAAGCCATACTGCATCTTTGGGTTGTTACAGTGTTGAGTACGAGCAGTGATTTGTAAAGGATGAATTTATCATAATGAATCAGTTATCAATTTATCTTTACGAACGAATCATTAAGATAGTGTGGACACACTGAGCTGTGTGTCCCTTTTTCCCCTCCTGCTTTCCTTTTTGCTTTATTCAACTGCTTCCAGAGTCATTAAAATAAAACTGATCTGCACAGGTATGAACACACAGAAGAAAACCACCGGTATCACAAGCACTAATTTATTTCAATGATAATTTCATTATCTTCCAGAAATAGTTTATTTATACGATTATGGAGAAAACAATTTTTCTCTATTGATCATGGTTCAAAAGTGAACAGAGATAATAGCAAAACTATTCATAAAATTTTAAAAAGTTAAATGATCAGCTTTTCCTCCATGAAAAAGAGATTTTGTTGCAGGAAATGTGTCTTATTTTTTGAATTATCTCCTTTTAATTAATCAAATTTATGTTATTAATTCATACATTTCAAAATAAAGACATTTCACAACCTGATAGGCAAATCACATGTAATATGTTTTGATTCCAGTAAGTGTGTGATAAAAGGGAACTTTTCCTTTTTTTATCTTTCATTTGTCTTAGTGTTCTTATTCTGTGTACCTTAAAATTTATAAAGTGTGTAGGCATAAGATCACCAAAGATGAAACATTTCATAGAACCCTTTTTTAAAGTTTATTTATTTTTGAGAGAGAGAGAGAGAGAGAGAGAGAGAGAAGCCCAAGCAGGCTCCATGCTGTCAGCACAGAACCTGATGCAGGGCTTGAACTCAAGAACAGTGAGATCATGACCTCAGCCAAAATCAAGAGTCAGACGCTTAACCGACTGAGCCACCCAGGTGCCTGAGAACCCTTTTTAATAAATAAGTATTTAGGTAGACTTTTAAGAATATGTGCAGTGTTAATTAATGGTAAGTTATATAAAAAATAATTCAAACCAAAACACTCAGCCTAAAGCAATTTAATTTAAAAAGTAATTTCTTCTGTGATAGTGGTAAGATCACCCCATAAAATCTATTATGCCCTTTCAAAAATGAACACATTGGCATTTTTTAAAAGAACACATTAAAAAACCGGACTTTGTATCTGGGTGTGTATGTGCAGGGCTTGGAGGTTCAGAGTCTCCACAGATCAGCCTTGACTTTGCAGCGAGAGCCAGGGCTAGAGGCGAATGAAACTACTCTCAAGGGTTATAATCAGATGAACACGCAAACCCTCTCCTTCAGTCTGAAGCACTACACGGGCAGGTGTTTCAAAGCCTGGAAGGGTTTGACCACTTCCCTGCCTCTTCCTGAGGAAAGATGCCATTCCAGTACCTTCCCTTCTGTGGTACGACCCGGGAGAAAGGTTTAGACCAAATCTCCTCTCTCTGATTTTATCCCGCCGCTATGGTCACTAGGCGACACTGGGCGGCAGATTGTCTAGGAGCAGACAATCCTCCCTAAGTTGCTGCCATCCACCCGGTGAGAGGACAGCCCTCCAGGGTTTGAAAGCTGTGAGTGGTGATAAATCAGAAACAGAATCTTTAGCTTAGCTATTTTCATTCCTTTCATTCTCAAATCCTGCTTCTGTTTCTTAGAGAAGACACAATCAAAGTATAGGTGCAATTATTTGTTTCCTTTGTCTTACAACACTCAACACTTTCTTTTTTCCAGACATACATACTGTTTTAAAATGCACTTGAATATATCTCCCTGGGAGTTAACGTGTTTTTGATTCATTTGTTTCTCTGGCTCTTTCATATGAGCCTCTTCCTTCCTGTCCCTCGCTCTACATCCTTGCTGGGAGTTACACGTGCCCACAGCGGGGAGTTTGGAGACGGAGGGGCTCTCCCAGGGCCTGGCTGTTCATTTCTAGATCAGCATTCACGCCTTACACACATCCCGCGTCTCCACCGTCTCCCCTGGGGATCCCCCCCACCACGGGAAGCATCTGTTTGAGGTTCCCATCAAAGATGCCTCTAAAAGAGCACGCCTCCCTGAGAAGGTCCCCTGAGCTTTGAGCCAGCCCACCTCGGCGAGAAGCTATTCCTTCAGCTTATTTTTGAAGAAAAAGAAAATGTGAGGCTTAAAACCTATTTTTGAAGAAAAAGAAAATGTGAGGCTTAAAACCAAAGCATATTATTGAATGTATCTTGCGGGCCTTCAGCAAAAATAACGCAGTCAAGCATTAGGCTTTGTAAATAATTAAAACTAATTCTTAAAAGCACCCGGAGGTCTCAGAGAATTGTAAACAGAGAACTCTATAAACAAGTGGGAAAGCTGTGACCCAGAGCCCTGGACAGGCATGTTCTGGTCTCGAGCTTTCCAACAAATGGCCATTATCTCAAGGACGCTGGTTGTCTTTAGCGTTCGTTGAAAATACAGGTTTCTGATTTCTTTGTAATTGAATATTTTAAAAACTACGGATGGATTTGCACTGTCCACAGGCTGAAGCCACCTGATACTGAAGGCCTTTTAAAATGTGGCCCCATGTGTAGTTTCCAGCCCACTTAATGCCACTTCCCCAACACACCCTAAGAGCAAAGTGTTCTCCTTTCCTCTTCTTTCCTGGACACCCCACGTCCTCTTTGTTTCCAGACCTTGGTTATTACTCCTCTTCGGTTTTTGAAGGGCTTCTCTTTTCTTAACGTGACTCTGTTGTAAAACTTATCTGGTCTTTGTCCCAGGTTCCTGGCACAGACCGTCAAAACCCTTGGCACTTCGCGCATGTTGAGCATGTCTTGGTCAGGACCAGCCCCTTTGGATTACACCTGAGTCTAGGCCAATAAGGCGACTTGGGGTGGGTCCCTTGGTAGCCTCAGTATGGGGCTGGTCAGCAGAGAGAGCCAGTGATGAGTGGGCTGAAATTCCTGCCCCCTCACAGACTTCCAGTAGGACCATGGGCTTGGGGTTCAGAGGAGGGGAGACTGGCCCTATAAAACCTTTTATACCCCCAATCCAGCGCCCAGATGCTCATGTGCTGAGAACCCCTTTCACCCTGCACCCCGTGCCTCTTCATCAGACTATTCATCTGTACCCTTTATTACATCCTTTAGAACATAAAGGAAAAATTTTTATTTTTATATTTATTACATCCTTTAGGACATAATTACACCCTAAAGGATACAGAATATAATTCTTTATGATATAAAAAAATATAACTGATAGGGTACCTGGGTGGCTCAGCAGGTTAAGCGTCCAACTTCAGCTCAGGTCATGATCTCACGGTTCGTGAGTTCAAGCCCCACGCTGTGCTCTGTACTGACAGTTCAGAGCCTGGAGCCTGCTTCAGATTCTGTGTCTCCCTCTCTCTCTGCCCCTCCCCTGCTTGTGCTCTCTATCTCTCTCTCTCTCTCTCAAAAATAAACATAAATATAATTTTATATATATATTTTATAAATAAATATATATAATGTATATATGTATATAATATATAAATATATATGTGTATGTGTGTGCATATATATGTGTGTGTGTGTGTATATATATATATATATATACACATATACATATACATATGTAAATAAATGACACATGTAAATAAATGTTTCCCTCAGCTATATGGGTTCTTCTAACACAGGGTAAAACCCAAAGAGGGACCATGAGTACTTCTGGCCTACAGCGGGTCACTAAGAAGCACAAGGGATAACCTGAATTTGTGACTGGCCTCGGGAGTGGGGACAGCCTTGTGGGACTAAGCCTTTACCCTGTGGGGTCTGACCCTGTCTCCAAGTAGAGTATCAGAATTGAGTTCAACTGTAGGACGTTCAGCCAGGGTCCGGGGCGAACGGGAGAATTGCCTGGTGGTCTTGGGAAAGATTCCAGATCCTCATGTAGTGTTTTCTAAACGAGGATTGGTATCCAACAGGGTATAATTTATCTGCATAGGATGCTACCTTTCAAGGGACGAGTTGCTCCCACTGTTCGTTCCCAAGGAAGAATCAATCACCCAAAAGGTGGTAGTAATTTTCCAAGTGGAACTTCTAAAAGAAGGATGATGACATGTGAAGAAGAAGGACTTGTAACTAACACGATTTTCTATCAATAATTTATTGGGGGATTGCCCACCCCCTCCCCTTGAGCCCAACCAGCTGGTAGAAAGTACTGGAAGGAAGATTATCATTCAGTGATCAAGTATTTGATAAAAGACATGTGAGCCCCTATTTTCTTTATTTATTTACTTATTTTTTTAATAATGAGGATTTAGGGAACAGCAGCTAAGCTAACTCTCAGTCTGTTTTAAACAAATTTACTCCTGAGTTGTAAGAGAAGAGAACTACACTGTCATCTGTAGTAATTGCTACGAGTTCGGTAGGGCGCGAGACCCTCTGGCTCAAGCTGGGAGAACGTGTCTTGTTAGCAGAATTCTCCCCGCAGACGGGTGCGAGAGCCAAGTAATTTAGAGAATGGTGTTCATGTTGTCCTGATTTACTCTGTTCCTGGACTGTCATGAATTAATTTCATTTAAATAAAAAGTAGGTTAATCTTGGAGGTAGCCAACATAATAAAGTAATTTCCCTTATTTTTGAAGTGCGTGTTAAATAAATATTTATGCCTTTCTTCACTAATCAACTAAGACCGTCCTTGCTTAAAGTCATCTCTGTTGAGAAATTTACGGCTCTGTTCGTTGGAATTAAAATGTGCCTTAAAAACACACAATGCACCTCCATTAATTTTTATATGAAATGGGAAAAAAATCCACTGTAGATGGTTTTTGCTGACGTAACATGGTACCGACATGTTTTTTTTTTTTTTCCAAGAAAATAATGACTCAGTCTCCCGACCCAGCACCCCATGTGGCCCAACTTTAAGGGAGGCATCCTTGAAGCAGAGTTTCAGCACCTCCCACAACTGGGTGGGTCCTCTGGGTGTTTAAAGGGGTTTGCTCTCTGCCCACACCCACTGGCTCTCCCAATGACACAATTTGGAAGTAATTTTTCTTTGAATTAGTCTGAGGTATCATGGTTGTTTAAAGCTGCTTCATTCCAGATCTTCCTCAGATGATGGTGAAAATTGTTTTCCTCTCTCCAGGTGACTGGGATTCTACCTCATTCATAAGGAGAATGCAGGAAGTTAGTACCACATTCCACAAGAACCACACCACAGATGTGAGCACTTGTAAAATCGATACTAGCGTGGTACAAAGAAAGTTGCTTCTTACACAGCAAATAATTAACATTATGTAACACCTGGAATAATTTAATATTCTCCGCATCTTTACCGCAATCCCATAAATAAGGCAGACCGACCATCCTCCTTGCACACGATGTCCAAGGGACTAATGATCCATCCAGGTCACTTGATGGGAGTCTGGACTGGGGCGCTGGGTGTTCCCTTCCTAACTTTTGAGTGCTTCATTATCCCTAACGAATGATAGTGCTCAAATTCCTTGAAAGCGGGGAGGTCCCATTCTTTCAATGAATTGAATGTTTATTGTGACTTTCAAGTCACAAAATAAAAACTATTCTAATTTGGAAAACCCTTCAACTTATTTATATATTTTTTCCAGTGTTTTTTCTCCCAATACTAGTTGAGAGTGGAGCCTTTGAAATATTTTGAAGTTTGTTTTTTATTTATTTTGGTGGGGGGAGGGAATCCCAAGCAGGCTCCGCACTGTCAGCACAGAGCCCGATGTGGTGCTGGATCCCAGAAACCATGAGATCGTACCCTGACCCCAGATCACGAGTTGGACACCTAACCGACTGAGCCACCCAGGAGCCCCTCAAATATTTTGAAAAGTGATCTAATTATACTGTCTGTTATTGCCTACAGTCTATGTATTTTAAAGACATGTGAATACATGAAACGGGTGCATTTATTGTATGCAACAAACATACATTTCAACATTTGTAAATTTTACACAAAATACGGTAAACACTAGATAATTTTATGCATGCTAACGTATTTAGAGGGAAGTGTGGCGATGCCTGTAGTTAGCCTTGAGATGCATCAAAAATAGCAGATACATTAATGGATGGATAAAAGGAAAACAGACATGTGACAAAGGATACATGGTAAATATTAATGGTGGACCCTCGGTGATAGGTATTCAGATGCTTATTTTTAAATTATTTCAACATTGCCAAATGTTCGAAAATTTTCTGATGAACCATTGGGAAAGACTTTGTGTTTGATAGGACTTTGATTTGTCTTTTAGAGATAGCTAAAAGAGAAAGGTAATTTTAATTGCAATGAGATCCTAACACAGAGATTAAATTCAGAGTCATGCAAAAAGAACCAAAAGCCCAAATGTAGACCTATCCCAGCAGTATCATTCTCTGTGGACAAGTACATTGGCAGTGTTGAGCTGTGCGTACCTTCACACGTTGGGGGAGAGCCTTCAAACTGCAGCTGGGAACTGAGCCTGCAGGCCAGCGTGTCAGTCCCTACCAGCGTGTACCCAGGGTGGCACTGGTACTTCACAAAATCCCCTGCAAGAGTCAGCACAACAGACCTGGGGCTTAGCTTTCTGCGACATACAGGGTATGTGAACGTATTAAAGGAATACATGACCCCTTAGCAAATTACGTCAATGAGCAGACCACTTCCGAACCAACACCTGGCTTCAGTTTTAGTCTGTCGAATAAAATGGTAGCATTTTCACTTCTTGACGCACAAAAATGCTATCTTAACTGACAGTAATCCTATTTAAAAAAAAAAAAAAAAGGAACTAGACGCTTGGGATTTAAGGATGTAGAACAGAAGGGCTTTAATGCATCCAGAGAGGGCTAAACCGTGACCCTGCCCTAATTAGTGCAATGTTCCCATTAACTGAGCCACTATGAGTAACCAGAAATTGGGGCACGTGGTTTGACCAGTGGTCTGAAACGTGGTGTGCGAACAGGGTGTTGTATTTGTTATTGAGACAGAGAAATCCTGGGTCATGGTAATTATACCACAAACATATGCCACGGCTGGTTTCCTAATGTGACCTGATGATTATTTAATGAAACAGGCCATTAATATAGAATGATAAAGCAGAATTTCTAAATATGATCATTAAATATATTCACCATTACATTCCAGTGTCAGTGAAAGGTCAATGTTATACTAATCATTATTTTAGCTGCACATGATTAAGTCCTTCTCGTGCATGAACATGCTTTTCTAACCAAACACAAATATCTGTGTAAGTCTGTCTCTGAAAACTTGACTCAAAAGAAAAATACAAACTAGAAAACGCCGGTGGGGGGCGGGGAGGGGGGCAGAATCAGGAGGCGCTCAAAATGAAAAAATCCAAATTCACATTCAGAAAACGAACATCACAGAGATGAAGGAAGAAAGCCGTATTCATTCGATTAATAACCTCTGTGGATAAGCCCCTAATAATGCTTTAGAATATTTCTGACAAGTACTCGCTCGCTTACTCATCCGAGTTAGGAGTTGGTGTAAAAAGGTGGACTGAGCTGATGGTATCGGAGTGAAGGAAACATTACCTATTTCAAAATCTTCATCCTCAGTAAGCATTTCTGCCTGTGGAACGGCCGGGGGAGGTTGGCATTTCTTGAGCTGAAATGCTAAACGGTTTATAGGGGAAAAAATTAACTGTAATTACATTTGCTGAATAAACAAAAATATTACTAAAAAGCATTCCTCTTACGTTGTTTTAATGCTTAGGGACACTGCAAAGTCTATATGTTTAAATCATCGCTTTATAAAATTCTCAAGCTTCGCATGCTTATGGGATTATTTCGTGCCAAAGAAGATATAATAAAGTCAAAGGGAAAGATGTGTACAGTTTTAAAAATTATGACATTGAAATAAAATCACTTCACATATACTTGGGATTCTGCCACAGAGATGGTTCACCCATGGCCTGGTGGCGGGTCCATATTTACATTTGATAAGGTCTCCCCCTGCCTCACATCTGAGGACCTCCGTGGACACAGTCCTTATGAGATGTCAGGTGCTGATACGCTGTTTTCCCAATTATTTGTTTTCAAAAGCATTAGATCTGCTTTTGCCTCATCTGTAATCACATGACGCTTGCTACTTGCTCCCCCTGGAGACAGGGATGAGGAAATCCACAAAGGCACTCAATGTCTTTCAAGGGTCTCCATATCAGTTGCATTTGCAATCCACTTACCTTGGAAGGAATCCAAGCTTCCCATAAACCAGACGTGACATAATCAAATGCCATTAAGCAAAAGAGGATCACCGGAAACCCTGACATGGAACTCAAGAAAATCCCCTAAGGCTCTCGCTGGACACAATCAAGGAACTTGAGCTGGAGACGAGGCCTATGTCAACCCGACCAGCAAAACCAAATGTGATTCTCCACCTGCCTCAACAAGGTGAAAATGCACTGACCGTGAAAATTGAGAACAAAGAAGCCTCCATTTGAAAAGTCGCTGTGGAACTTGAGCAGGACTTGGTTGGTGGAGCTATACGCGGTTTCCAGGGCCGTATTCCCACTGAAAACTCCCAGCTGAGGTGAATTCTGATCAGGCCCATCCCTAGGGAAGAGAGAGACGTTTGATGGAAAGCTCCTAAGTACAGCTGAAACTAAGGATCATTTTCTTCTCACATTTGGACTCTGTCCTGGCATCAGTGGGCTGGTCTGACCTGGGCTCCGGGTGACGGGACTGCCGTGCACACCTGAAAACTCAGGGCTGACTTCCATTCCCCCCACAGCTGACCTTTCCAGACCAATCACTGAGACACGTTCACATTCATTCTGGTGGCCGCAATACCACCTATCAGTTGCCTTTCAAACGTCTACATTTGAAAGTCTAAATTCAATGGTGTCTCTTTAATTATGGGTGAAATTATGGGTGAAAATCTTGCAACGGAACTAAAAGATTTTCAAAAATTGCTTAAACAGAAAACTACAGTCCAAGGTGGAGTACCCTGCCCCATGAGTGCACGGCAAGACTGAACGCAGTTTCAACCCCTCCTGGAGTGAAATTTTACGCCAATCGTTCAGAAAGTATCAGCGCCAATGAGGTCTCTAGGACTGTCTCCATCCACCCCCACCTCAAGGAAGAGGAGCTAATCTGCATGATAAGACCCCCCCCCCCTTGCCTGAAACAATCCTTCCTTTTGCTAATGGCTTCTTGCCCCGCCCTTCTTCCCTTGAAAACCTTCCTTGGGCACACCTAAGTCCCCAAGCATCTCTCTACTTGCCAGACAGGATGCTACTCAATTCATGAATCATTTAATAAAGCCAATTAGATCTTCAAATTTACTCAGTTGAATGGTTATGTTTTTAACAAACCGAATAAAACACCACCACCTTCTGGACACTGTTTAGAAATACCGAGATGTGTAATGTCACAAACTTGAAGAGACTTTTCAGTCTCTCGTTCATTAGTGTTCTTTGCAACAGGCACTCTACTTTGTTAAATATGAAGAGCCTTCGCTCCCATCTGCTAAATCTATAGGTTAATCCAGGTGAAATGGCTGATACTATAATGTTTGCCTTGATCAATTTAATATTTCAAGTTCTCAGCTTCCTCCTCATTCCCTCAGCCACTGGGTCGGCCGTTATCACCTCCCTGCCAGAGTTATTTCTATAGCCTCAAAAGCCGGCTTCCCCTCTTTCCCTCAGTTAATATATTTCCCACGAAGTGAGGCTGGGCATTCTGCAGTCAAGGTGATTCTCCTTCCTAAGACCTACTGAGTCCTTTTTGCTCTGAGAACTAAGTCTGGAATCCTTCACAAGATTTATAAGCTCCCGTATTCTCCGTCCTGCTCACTCGGACTCCCGTAATATCCGTATCTGAGATCTGCCAATAGCCTGAACTCACCCTGTTCCCTGACTTTACAGGCTTTCCAATAAGAAACCCTTAACATTTATGCCGACTTCCCCAACAGGCACACACACATTCGCGCATGCGTAGCATGTAGTTACCTGCCATTACTCCAGTTTTCACGGAAGTTCATCCTGGCAGCACATCGTGGATCTTTAACCCTGAGTTAAGCTCACCTCCTCACACCCTGTCCATGCCCCCTCCTTCTCCCACCACAGTGTCACAGAGGACCTGGCAATCTCTGTGTCCCCCATAACCTCTCCCTTCCAAAAGCAAAGGTAGGACAGTCATCCCCATAGACACGCAAAGGTAGCCCAGGGTCACACAGACAACTTACGCCAGGCCACATGGCTCGTTGGAAGGAGAACCAGGACCCAAATCCCCGCCCCCGTTTGCTGGCTCGTAGTATTTCCTACACATACGGAAGGGCAGCTCTGCAAAGTTCACAAAGGATGGAGGGAGGGCTACGCGCGATTATGTCTTCGCTATTTCCAGACTCATCAAGTTCTTATTGTGCCATTTCTTATCATACTTAACAACGTAAAATAAAATAAGCTTGGGATATTTTATATTCAGAGTAGCCGTGAATTTACCTACCATGGAGTAAAACTCAAACATGTGACATGACATTTATTCTCTGTATCTCCCGGATTTCATTGCTAAGTTTCCTTTCCCATATCCCCCTAATAATTTCATTTCTTATACGTCAATCTGACATACAAGCACCATGTAGCTGGCTGCAGGAATGGTTTAGCACAATCGCGTATCACTTTATATGAAAGGGCTCTCCTACCAAACAGCAATGTAATCGTTAACAGCTTCAGTCTGCAGCAAGGTGAAGTTGATGTAGACCCCGTGGCCAGGAGGTACAGTGATAAGCCAGAAGCAGTCCTTCAAAATTGGGTACTCATCGGGAAATCCAGGGGAATAAATGGTACCGTTCTGAGATGTTACATTATATCCGCAAGGAGCTGAAAAGGAAGCAGAACAATTAAGGTCCATATAGTCAGCTTTGGAAAGGACACAGTTAAATATTTCTAAGTCTCTAAAGCCCCTCCGCCGAAATTTTCCTTCTAAGAAATAATAATTGTGAAACATTTCTCAGTGACTACTTTGTCAAAGTAATTCCCCTGAAGTCTTAAAACCTTAGATGAATTTTACTTCTGAACTAAGTTATCTAAGTTCCATTTAATAGAGTCTCCAAACACTCAAAATCCCTTCAGGATGAAGTCATTCCCAGATAATTAAAAAGAAAAAAAAAAAAAAAAAAAAAAAAAAGCCCATACTCAGTTACCCAGTTATCTTGGGTGACTGAGCTGATAATCCATTGGCTATGTGATACAAGGGATTATGGAGAGATTATGCATAAATACATAATGGAAATTTTTCGTTGTTTTAAGTGAGATTTCTAAAACCTATTTAAACATCCAAGTCTCTTTGCCTAAACAAAAATATTATCAATTCTTGGCAGATCTATACCTGAAGAAATGGGAGAAAATTATGTAAGTCAAAGCATTTTCACATCTCACCAGCTTTCAGGGGTGTAAAGACTCACCATCCCCAATCAGTCCCTGTTTATTTTACTTAACGAACTGGTGTTCCCTGTTGCCATGACAATTATTTTGTCTTATCTACGGAGAAATGAAGTGACTATATATTAGCAGGATAATCTGAATGCATTATTACATTCAGACAGTGGTATAATACATCAAGTCATAAACCAGTAGACTTTTTAATCAACCAAAATCCAATAGATGTGGGATGAGTGGCTGTTCCTAGCATGAATCTTCTTGGGCTTTCAGAGACTTGTCACCAAAGGTGTAAAATTTAGGTGGAGAAAACAGACCAAACTATGTTTTTAAAAAAAGAGAAAAACAACTTCAATAAACAATTCACAGTGCTGACCGATGACAGACATGCTCTCAGGCAGTATGGGACATCCGGCCTTAATCATGCCCCTGCGTACTTTTTCAGAGGAAGGAGAAAATGTTCCAGGGCACAACAGATGGAATCTGGTCCAAGTTTTGGAAAAAATCCATAGAGGAAGGGGCCTTAGAGAACATTCTGGAAGTTTTATGGCATAATTATTAATAAGTGGGGTTTGGAGTCAGGCAAAGCTTGCTTTGTAAACTGAAGCACACGGAAACTTATAATCTGGTGTCCCCAGAAAACTGTCATACGTTCTCTCACCTCCAAGCATGATGCCAATATTCACCCTGCATGAATCTTTCAAACGCTTTTCTCCTACCCTGCTGCCAGGGTGGGCTGATCCCTTTAAGAACTCGACTCGAGTGTTACTGCCCCCTTAAAGGTGGTTTGGCCCTGGATGGCCATGGTTATTCACTTATTATGCGGCTGCAATTAGCTGTAGTTGTTCTCCACCGTTAGACCATCAGACTATTAGCAGTCAGAAGTCAGGGACTGTGTTCCTTTTCGTCTCCACCCACCACCTGCTTTCCTTGATCCCCACTGCCTCACTCAGATCACGATAAATAAGACAGAAGAAATGACTAATAAATTGAAAATGAATAAGATAATCACCACAAAATATTTTATGAAGGAACACATGGAAGTCAGTGGGCTGACAAACCTTATGTGGACCTGAGGTTATTGATGTGGTATTGACTTACAATCTATCGTCTCCAAGACTTCCCTTGTGCATTTTGACTTTTCAGATTGAAACTTATAATTGTATAACCACATTATACACAGTAGCACCCTTCCCAATGGTGATAAAACACAACAAAATAAGCAAACAGAAAAGGACTGTGCCACCTCTTAAAGGGCAAAAGAAACAATAGGGTGATTTTTCTGGGTAGGACACATTGCTGGCTTCTGAAGTTCTGGATGTCACTTACTAGCTCTAGGACATTGAGCAAGTCAGGTATCCTTGCCATGACTTGTGTATGATAGTCAAAGAATAAGTCCGCCATTAACTTATTCAATGAGTATTTATTGAGAATCGATTATGTACCAGGAGATGTGAGGTTAGAGCAGGGGACACAGTGGAGAACCACAGAGCACTGCCTTGTGGAGCTTACTGAACGGTGATGAAGAAAGATACGAAGCAAATGATAAGTAAGTATAAAAGCCAACTTATATAAGTATGATGAGGGAAAGAACAATCACTGCTTGTCACATGAGCTAATAATATTCCATCGATGCATATAAAATTCCGCAAGGCAAATCTTGCCCTGCAATCTAGAGAGAAAAGAGAGTTGACGTTTCCTTTAGCACTCTTCCTGGCCTGTTAGCCCGGAGAAGGCTTGGCCCTCACTGCAGTGGTCCCAAAGGCACACGGAGATCTGCACGATTGGGTGGCCTCTCACTTAAGGCCACAGAGACAGTAGATGTGTGACCTGACTCAGCAAGGCACGGATCCACCCTCTCCCCGAAGGTGAGGTTCAAAGTGGACCCTGAGCTGGAGATCAATCACGAAGCCTCCGTGGGGAGATCTAGACACAGGAGAATCAGTGCACCACAGCCAAGCAGAGGCACCTCCCGGCTTGCCACCATGTGCCTGGGAGCCTGGTCCCCGCAGGACAAGGACGGCACCCAGCTGGCCAGGAGAGAGCGCATCGACATCGGCATCGGCCGCACCATGCTTCACAATCAGAAGCCACACGTGCGACAGGTTCTTTTCCACTTCACGGACACAAAGAGTAAATAAACACATGCTCATTTATATATTCGTGAGTGTACCTTTAATATCGTGATGCAGTTAGTAATTAGGAATACCTCCCTGCTCCTAGCACAGAGTTCCAGAAATCCTTGGATAAAAGTTATATGACAAAAGAGATAAAACTCTCCTTCGTTATTCATAGCAAGACCCTTCCAACCACAGCAGCGCTTATGTTAATGAGATGCCTTGGAAAGCACCAAAGGAAGGGGTCTGGAGAACTTCCCGATGCGTGAACACTTGGGGTGCTGGGAAGATGGCTCAGCTGGAGAGGACAGAACCCTCTGCTCATCTCCCAACACACAATCAAGGACCGTGTTCTTTTTCATCCCCACCCACGACCTGCTCTCATTGATCCCCATAGCCCCCTGCGTCTCTTCAATCTGGCTCTTGCCCAGTCACGTCCTGTGTAATAAATCTGGAGGCGCGGAAGTACAACGTTTTCCTGAGGTCTGCGGGTTGCTCTAGCAAATCGGTCCCATAGGAGGAGGGAGTCATGGGGACTTCTGATTTACAGCCCATCAGTGAGAAGGGCAGGTGATAACCCGGACATGCGACTGGCATCTAAAGTGGGGGGCAGGGCAGGGGCCGCCCCGCGGGGCCAGGGGCTTTCCCCGGGGAGACAGTCAGAACTGGGTTCCAACGGAGGCTCTCCAGCAGTGTCACAGCATCACTTGTAAGAAAAAGGCACAGACGGTGGCCAGGAGTGCCAGAGTGAATGTCGAGTGTCACACAGTATGCACACGCAAATCAACAACAGGTTGTGAGAAAGGGCTGCCGTGTGAAGTATGATTAATGAGAGCTCTCCAGTTATCTCTGGATGTATTTCTCCAGAGAAAACTATGTACATAAAGAGAATTAAGGTATCTTCTTTCATCACCTCCTAGAGCTAGCATTCGCTACCCTGACCAGGATGGAGGTGACGACTTCTCTGAACGTCTCATTCTTTTTTTAAATTTTTTTTTTTCAACGTTTATTTATTTTTGGGACAGAGAGAGACAGAGCATGAACGGGGGAGGGGCAGAGAGAGAGGGAGTCACAGAATCAGAAACAGGCTCCAGGCTCTGAGCCATCAGCCCAGAGCCCGACGCAGGGCTCAAACTCACGGACCGCGAGATCGTGACCTGGCTGAAGTTGGATGCTTAACCGACTGCGCCACCCAGGCGCCCCTCTGAACGCCTCATTCAATGTGAAATGTAGTCAGTGCCTATCTGTGCCTACGTAGCCTTCACCTCACCCTCACTTCCTACCCGACTCCACTGTAATTTGAGAACGTGAAGCTGTGAGGTGGCTGGGACAACAAGGGATGGGTGTGTTTCGCCAAGTCAAGCTCCTGCGCAGCCAGAAGATACTGGAAGATGAGCTGGTGGCCATGGTGGACATCGGCATGGGAAGGTGGAGAGACATCGACCCTTCATGTTACCTGAGGCTACACTTGGAAAAATCAAGGGGCACTGACACATCTCTTTATTATGCTTCTTCCCCACAACACATGTACCAAGTGACTTTCTCTGAACTGAGATGGATAGAAAGAGCTTATTAAGTTGTTTCAATCAGAAATTAAAATTTAAAAACCCTAAATATCCACTAGGACAGTTATAGATAATTTATGGATGGTTTTCTCCAGGATTATGTCCAGATTTCTGCCTAATGAGAGCATGAAGAAAAAGCTTACGGTACCAAACAGCCAATACCTACATTTGGCATGAATATTTATGAATTTTAAACTCTTGACTATTAATGTACCCAGGAACCGAATGCCTAATCTGACAGAATGTGTGCAGCGCCGTAGGTATTTCTGACCTATTTTGTTTTTCTTCACTTTGGTTTCCTTATGATGGTTTTGAGGTAGACACGCTGTGCTCTATCTTAGGAACTGTTTGATAATGGGAGTATTTAAAATAATATTTATGAATACAAGTTAGTTGTATTCTTTAGAATGTCATTCTTATTCTAAACTAGTAGGAGAGATTATTTTCTATATTTATCAATCAACTTGATAAACCTTAATTTTCAAAACTATGTACATAATAACATATTCTTTGGCTACTTGGATTCCACATGTCAGTTAGGGTTCTGCAATTGAATAGGGATCTGCTCACAAAATCACTCAATCTAGACGTAGTCACTAATACACTAATTGCAACACATTATTATCCTAAAAATCGTCTCTGTCCAGATAGTTCCCCATCAACATCCTACTGCACTTTAAGGTGAGGAATATCCTGACGGTGCTTAACTTTAAATATACTTAAAAAAATTTTTTTTAAGTTTATTTATTTATTTTGAGAGACAGAGAGAGCATACAGGGTAGGAGCAGAGAGAGAGGAGAGGGAGAGAATCCCAAGCAGGCTCTGCACTGTCAGCACAGAGCCCGATGCGGGGTTCGAAAATTGACATCATGACCTGAGCCGAAATCGAGTCGGGTGCTTAACCGACCGGGCCACCCAGGCACCACGACAGTGCTTAACTTTAAAAATGATCTTAAGGGGCGCCTGGGTGGCCCAGTCGGTCGAGCATCCGACTTCAGCCAGGTCACGATCTCGCGGTCCGTGAGTTCGAGCCCCGCGTCGGGCTCTGGGCTGATGGCTCGGAGCCTGGAGCCTGTTTCCGATTCTGTGTCTCCCTCTCTCTCTGCCCCTCCCCCGTTCATGCTCTGTCTCTCTCTGTCCCAAAAATAAATAAACGTTGAAAAAAAATTTAAAAAAAATAATAAAAATGATCTTAAAATTATATCTATATAAGTATTTCGGTAAGAGAAGATTAATTAGGTAAACAAAATATCTAAAAATTTTAAACTGTATTTGTAAGTAGAGATGCATATTTGATTATCAAATTAATTTAGTAAATTAATAAACAAGTTTTCTAAGCCATATTTTAACAATTATAATCCATTTTTTAACTGGGACTTCTGTATAATTATGTTACTGGCAAAAATAACATCTTGAATTTCTCAAGTCACTTTGAGACCTTTGTTTTTTCTTTTTTAATAGGTATCATACTTTTATCGTACTTTATCTAATATTTAGAATTCTTGAGCCATAATTGTCTGAATTACTCAGTTTTTACTAAAGTTGCCAGAAGTTGTTCATAGTATCTCTGTTCCACCCCGAGAGTCTCCTGAAGTGGACGGGCTGGATGTTAGAAGATGGTTTTCCAGTGTATTTGTCCGATACACCAAGAAGAAGCCTGAACTGAAAAAGCACGCTGGATAACCCAAATGCATTTCAGGCTGAGTATGCTGGGCAATCGGACCTTGCCAGTGTCCTGTGTGGGCTTAACCATAGCCTAAGTGGACCCCGACAGACCTCTTAACAGCCCACCGTGCTTAGCAAACACTCTTTTTTTCTTATCTCTCTTTTTGTAAATACAACCTTTCACACGTAAAAATACCTTTTGTTATAAAATAATATCCTCCGTTTATTTTGTGTTTTTTTTGGAAGTTAATCCCATATGGAAAGGATATTAAACACACATTGGACGCTGCTTAGAAAATGTAATTTATGATATAATTTTATATGAATCTTATGTTTTATTTTGTCTTATTCTGTGACATTATAGATATGAAGAGAGACACGACGGTAAAGATGCTCGTGCAGTAAAGCATTTGACCTTGCCTCTGGAGAGCTCTAGCCCTCTGTTTGGGAGGGGGTTTACCGCACACCCGATAGGAGTGTCTTTGCTTCCTGGGGGGTCGGAGCGTCGAACTCAATAGTTCCAGGAGGGGGCAACCCATGCCGGAAGTACCAGCCACGTGACCGAAGGTGGGGCCTTTGCGTCACAGGATGTCAGCTGGTCTGGAAGCTGACACCAACCACTGGGCAATCCAGCCATCAGTCCTGCCCACCTAACAGAGCCCGGATGAAAATCTCTGGGCACCAACACCCAGGTGAGCTCCTCAAGACACACTGTCACCAGTCAGCTGTGAGACGGGTGCATCCTCCCGTACTCTAAGCATCTTTTCCCATGATTTTAATGTGTCCTTTCCTTGTTATAACCCACAACCAGAGTATGTAATAGCTGTATTATTATACAACAGATAATATTATATATAATAGAGTATATAATATAATAAAGTTCTGTGAGTCCTTTCAGTGAATTTTCCAACCTCAGGGTGGCTTGGGGACAAATCTCCTATTTTCAGGTGCTGTCGGGAGCCCGGGGCAGACTTGGATGTCTGGAGGACTTCCGCGTCAGTGTGGCCAGCTCTGGGTAGTAAGACGTATCATGTTGTCATTATAAGAGGTGGCGTCCCCTTTAAGCTACGTCACAAACAATGTATTTTGTTATTTTCACGCTGACAAAATAATTCTAAGCCAGCATTTATTTCTGTATTTGAAAACTTCGCTTGAAAAAGTGATGAAGCCTAATTAACGATTTAGTTCTACTTTTTAATATCAAGCCAAGAAGACTCTCGTGCATAGATGAATTCAAAGGATTCAGGGGAAAATTCCAATTAAGAAAAGGGTTTAATCATGATAATCCCAAGTATTCTATACATATAAAAAATATGAGTTTTTAAATGGAGAATAGTAAAAAAAAAAAAAAAGGTTTTTAAAGTTTTTTTTAGGTTTATTTATTCATTTCGAGAGACAGAGAGCAAGTGAGTGAGCTGGTGAGCCTGCACAGGTGGGGGAGGGGCAGAGGGAGAGAGAGAACCCCAAGCGGGCTCCCGGGTGTCTGCACAGAGCCTGAGGTGGGTTCCATCTCATGAGCCATGAGACATGACCTGAGCCAAATCCAGATTCGGACGCTTATGTGACTGAGCCCCCCGGGAGTCCCTTAAATGTTTTAATAAAAAGCACCAGATATGCTACTGCTATATTTAGTTTTATAAAAAATTTTTTTAAATGCTGTTCTATATGTTATTAAATTTGCATCAGACTAAGGATCTTTTAAAATACAGCTGAAGTTTCTTTTCATAGTTTTTTTAAACAATAACATAGAATAGAAAAATACAGGTGAAAAATCTAATTTAAGAAGTCCACTGGTGGTGTTTTTTTTTTTTTTTTTCGGTTTATTTTTGTTTGTTTTTACTTTTTCAGTAGAAACAGAAACCCAGCGAGTTGCCGTTCCCTTTTGCCCCCTGGGATATAAATGTTTAGCATTTCAAATGACCACAGAGTTGGTAATTTCATTATTTTTTTCACTCAAAGGGACTGTATTTATAATGTTAGAATACTAGACTTTCAGTAAATTTTGTTTCATATGCTTTCTTCATCAACAACATGCTTGATCTACTAACTTCAACTTGATATTACATAAATTTTGAAATCATCAAAACAAAAAAAAATCAGGCTGCCATACAGAAGCTTTAAAGAAGTGATTTCTGCTCCGACCAGGGCTATTTGATGAATCAGACTTCCCTCCATCACCACTGACGGTCAAGCTGATTCCCAGCCCTCCAAAGAAACCATGATCATCATGTACTATTGAGCTGCGACTTTCCTATGACTGTCTCTCCAGGATGTCTTTGCTTTCATTATTCTTTCTACCTCTGATGCCCTATCTCTGAGTAGCAAAATAGTACGTATGCTCCAATGCCCACTAAAAAACAAAACCCATTTCCCGAAATACAAAAGCAATACATGATAACTGTGAAAGCTAAACAATAAAAAACATCTAGGGTAAAATGAACGAGCATTCTTTCTTCCATTAATCCCGTAATTTGGTGGAACCATCATAATTCTAAATACCACTACCATCATAAAGATGTCCCTGATCACTTCCCAAGCAAATGCCATCCTTCTTCATGCAATTCTTATGTCTGGTTTCGCATTATAAATGTGTGTTTATTATTTTGTTTCCTTTATAACAACCATTGAAGGCAAGGCCTATTTGTTCATCTTTTTAACGTACTGGCATATGATATTCCTGAGATACTAGGTAGAAGGAGTTTACCATAATAGATCGCTAATAAATATTTGTTGAATAGGTGAACAGATTCTCTAAAACATCCATTTAATCATTTAATGCACTATTATATACATGGAAAATTACATTATTGCCAAGAACGGTTAACCTACCGTCACATCTCGGAAAAGGATAATTCCAGTCTCGGTCGATCCCGTGCTGACAGGTGAGGACTGGGTGGCCGATTAAAATGTACCCAGGGTAGCACTCAAAGGATATGGACTGTCCCACACTATAGTCCGAGTTGATCATATAACCATTCTGAAAAGGAGGTGGGTCCGGGCAGTTCTGTAACTCATAGGCTGAAACGGACAGAATCAAGCTCATGTAAGAAGTTAGGTTAGTATGGAATGGACAGTCCTGGGATCATGGGCAGTTTATTAAGATGGATGTTTCCAGCAAGTTTTGAAAAGTATATTTTCTAAGTTGCCACTTACCATCTAAGTAAAACGATTAGTAGCAGTAACAGAATTAAAACACTTAATAAACACTTGACTGTGTGCTTTAGAAGTAGTAAAGCACAAACCAAATATAAATTTGACAGCATTTACCTTGGGGAAAAAAAAAGTATATGAAATGAATTGACTTTTTTAAAAAGGTAAAATAAATGATAATAAAAATTGCCTGTAAAGAATGTCAGGTGAATGTGGACTTAATTTCCCTTTACTTTAGAAGCGAATTATACTAGCACTCCATTCTAAGGGTTAATAACTAGGAAATACGGAGTTGTTATGTTTTGATTTGTTCATTAATTGTCTGTTACAAATAAAATGTAAAAATCAACTTCATTTTCTTATTTTTTTGAAAAAAGAGCCCACAGAAAAATTGTACCAGCAACCACTATCTGTACAATGTTTTTTTTTTATAAAATCTAGTTTATGTAGTAAATAATACATATTTATATTTTGCACGTAATAAGGATACTGTGCAGTTGATACGGTGTCTTTGCAAGTTCCAATGTTGTGAGATAAATTTAGAAATTTTAACAGCATGGTTGAACCCTCACTGTAGTCAGCAGATTAAAAATCCCTTTATTTCACAATTTCACTTCATTTCACATTTTACTTGGCTTTCCTTATTTTTATATTTGCAATTGGATGTCTCTGGACAAGAGTCAGATAAGCAGCTAATGACTGACGGCAGGCAAGAAGCAGAAATCAGAAGGGGTGCCAGGGCAAAGGCCTCTAAGCCTCTTGGAGTCATTTATGGTGCTGGCTCCTCTGGGGGCTGATACCAGGAAGAACCTGGAGGCAGACAAAGCCCCCCCCCCCCGAAAAAATGGGGCCTCCGTGAATCTCCAGCAGCTGCAGACTTCCCCTCTGGTGTCCACTGTGCAAGCACAGGACGAGGGCTGTCTCCTCAACAAGATCAGAGTGGACGTCACAGACGTGGTTTATGCAACGAGGCTTTATCAACTGTGATGTGCTAATAATACATTTATTCCGTTTTATTTGTAATGTGCTTCATTATTTTTTTTTCAATTTTTTTTTTCAACGTTTATTTATTTTTGGGACAGAGAGAGACAGAGCATGAACGGGGGAGGGGCAGAGAGAGAGGGAGACACAGAATCGGAAACAGGCTCCAGGCTCTGAGCCATCAGCCCAGAGCCTGATGCGGGGCTCGAACTCACGGACTGCGAGATCGTGACCTGGCTGAAGTCGGACGCTTAACTGACTACGCCACCCAGGCGCCCCAGAATGTGCTTCATTATTATAGGGAGTTGCACCTATCATACATTGAGAATAAGAGGAAAAAGCTTGCTGGAGTATTTTTAACTCAATGCCATCTTTTGACACATAGGCTTTATAACTCAGTATGGAGATAGAACTTATTTATACAAAATCAAACAGTTTAGCTTTGTATAATGAGCTTTTGGCACTCCTTTTTGGTGAAGCTAAATTATAACATGAAATTCCTGAGACAATAGAAGGAAAAATCACCTATTTAAGGATTTATTCCAGATCAATAAGCATCATAAGCACAATTATTATTAACAAAACGCAAAGCTCTAGCCCTCTTTTGCCAAAAAAAAGTGCTTGGAACTCACAATTTTGGCATTTGCAATCCAGCATAAAGACAATAGCTGCACGTTCTCCAGAGGTGTTTTCCAAATTTTTTTTCTGCCTCTCAGAAGTAAAATATCTTATTGTTGAAAGCTCCTGCCTAGTACCAGACTTCAAGGGGAAATAAATCTATAACTGTTCCAAAGAAAAGAGCATTCAAACCTGAGTGAAAGGAAAACATGTCTGGAAGGAAAGTACGTCAAGCATCAGAGTGGCAAGTCTCTCATTTTTACTTGCTTTTGGAATGTTACCACATCCTATTTGAAAACCAGAAGCTTGGAAAACTGTGCCGGTGAGTATAAGGACAGGGAATGTCAGACCAGAAAGCCAAAACCAATCGGCACGTCTTTTTCTCTTTGCACTACACGTGCATGAACACACAGGTGCACACGCTGTGCACGCACGCATGCACACACACACATACAATGCACACAAACACCACACACGTATGCACACATACACACTCCCACACCTGTACACGTTTATGCACATACATACACACGCGCGCACACAGGAATACCACACATGTATGCACACACTCACACATCCATACATGTTTATGCACATACACACACGCGCACACACAGAAATACCACACATGTATGCGCGCACACTCACACATCCATACATGTTTAGGCACATACATACACACACAGAAATAATACACATGTATGCACACACACTCACACATCCGTACATGTTTGCACACACATACACATGCACACACACATGCACACACACACTCACACATCCATACACGTTTATGCACACATACGCACACACACGTATGCACACACACACCTGTACACGTTTACACCGTCATATGCACAAACACACACTGTCTATTTCTTCATTTCCTTACTGTGCTCCTTCCTGGGCCAGCGTGGCAAATCCACAGCCAGTCACCTACCTCCCCCAAGGGCCACCTCGCCCTGAAAGCCATAAAAACAGCCTTTTCCTGAAAGCCAGCGCCAAATGGCCTAGCAAATACCCACAGTGCTTGCAATGTTGTTATTTGAGCTCGAATTTACTTTATCAGAAGCAGGTTCACAAAGAGAACAGAGAATCCCATACTGGGCTCCAACTGTCAACCAATTTCCTTCTTTATAATACTCTTTGAGAATGAAATCAGCAGTTCGTTCTCATGCTTGTTTTGCTTGAAGCATAATAAACTCTGCTGGAGAAATGGGTCCTCTAATGTATCACATACAACTGCTAATAAAACCTTTATATATACATACAGATATATGTATATAAATATACATCAAAACTGGATGGCGGTTTCCACGTGAGCAGAATCAAGACGGCGTTCAACGGAGCACCCTCGTCGGTGAAAGATTCTAGCCATGGTTTAGCAGGGCCCTCGGGGTACCAATGAAAGCAGTGGGAACCGCGGATGGGTGCTCTCACAGAGAGTCCTTTTCTTAAAGTTTTTTCAAAGCTTATTTATTTATTCGAAAGACAGAGTGTGTAAGCGGGAAAGGGGCAGAGAGAGAGGGAGAGAGACTCTGCATTGTCAGTGAAGAGCCTGATGCAGGGCTTGAACTCACGAACTGTGAGATCATGACCTGAGTGGAAACCAAGAGCCGGACGCTCAACCAACTGAGCCACCTAGGGGCCCCAGTGCAGAGAGATTCCTAATGAACTGTCACGGGAAACAGCCTGTACCACATGTAAACTCACACGGGTCTCCTCACAGCCTTGCCACAGGGAGGGTCGCTCTAATTTGCATCAGCGTCCGTGTGAATGTGACTTTGAACCCTCCCTCAAGAGCTTGGTTTCCTGCTCCTTGGAAAAATGAAGGGGGTTCCCAGGAGCCACAGAGCCACATGCAGCAGTCCAGAGAATTCCCGAAGTGCACACACAAGGATGCTCCCTGTGTCCCAGACTGGCCGTTATGATGGCTCCAATGGCACATCTGTCTTCTTCTGTAACAAGGATATGACCCTGTTTCTCGCTCCTCAGTGAGACTGAATGTTCTTTATTGGTTATCTGAACTCCCCATACCCATCAGTGAAGCCAACCTACATCGTCCCCGAGGTGACAGCCAACCCCATGCTCTGGGGGCAGCCCAAAGCCTTGGCTGGGGGATGGCTGACCAAGTCGCTTGCTCCCAATTGTGGTTACAATCACGTCTTGTGCTTTGAGCAACCGCGGGTGGGTGCTTGGCAGACCTTCTGCGTGAAGACCTTTACACTGTGGAAAAACTCTTCTTTTATTTTAGTTTTTTAAACGTTCACTTATTTATGTTAAGGGAGGGAGAGGGGGGATGGGGAGGGACAGAGAGAGAGGGAGACAGAATTCCAAGCAGGCTCTGCCTAGTCTCTATAGTGTAGCCCATGAACTACCACTGGAGGCACTTTCTTCATCTTGACCAGGTTGCCCTAGAGTGGATGGGAATTGACACAACTATAAGTTGTCCGCTATTTTAAGCATTTTGATGTGTCTAAGGAGCCTCCTGCAGAGAACTCGATTCATTCACTCAGACGGGTGGAAAGGACAGAGTAGACCCGACCTTGCTCTTGTTAGCTCAAGGTGCCTCAGGGTATCATGGTCAAAGGAAAAAGAACAACTCAGTTTTAGAAGCACATCAATTTCATGCAGACAAGTATGTTCGTGTCCGTAAGGAATGGGCAGTGGGTTTATACAACCAGCTACAAGCTACCCTTCCCGGGCTCACTGCACAGGAAGGTGGTTTGATTGCTTCTCCTCCTACAGGGGAAGGATCACTATCTACTATCGACAGACCAAAGCCTATTTTCTCATAGGTTCAATTCACTTAAATTCAACAGTTTTATGAGTGAATAAATGGAGAAGCGGATTAAACATATCTTTAAAAAAGAAAAAAGATGCCTGGGGCACCTGGGTGGCTCAGTCGGTTCAGCGTCCGACTTCGGCTCAGGTCATGATCTCACAGTTTGTGAGTTCAAGCCCTGTGTTGGGCTCTCCGCTGATGGCTCAGAGCATAGAGCCTGCTTTAGATTCTGTGTCTCCCTCTCTCTCTGGCCCTCCCCTGCTCGCACTCTGTCTCTGTCTCTCGCTCCCTCTCAAAAATAAACATAAAACATTTTTAAAATACAAAAATAAAGGTGCTTAGTACATATAGCAAAAGGGAAAAGAAAAAGAGTGCAACTTCGAAAAAAAAGAAGACATTTTTACTTCCTATGCCTAAGGTACTTAAAGTTACCTTTAAGCTTTTTGGCATTACACTATTCTATTATAATGTAAGAATGAACAAGAGAGAGAGAGAGGAGAATATTTAACTTCTCCAAATGTTAACTTACAAAAACCAAAAATAGAAGAGAGTCGCTAAAATTCTTAATGGCCCCAATTTTATAAACATTATGAAAATCTAGACACCAATAAGCCCATATCAATATTGTAAGGGAATCCTTTGTTGGGCTCTAGGAACAGAACTATTACACCTATCACCCTCAAGCAATAGGGCATCAAGTGTTTAAATTATAGGTGTTTAATGGGACAGCCAGTGGGGTCACGTAGTCATATTTGTGACATCCACCAGATTTTCCAGTATCTAATGAACTGATAAATATCTTCAGGCTTCCATGAGTTTTTCAGTTTTTGGCTTAGAAATAGGGTACATGAACTCAATTTTATTCAACACGACTCTCCACCTTCCATTTTCCAAGTTCTGTAGAAGTCATGTAACTTCCAGACAGCGACATCCACTAGTAACATTTTTAACCTTTCTACAGCCATAAAGAAACGACGAGGTTTAAGAATAGGGGCACAACCAGGCATCGTTGAGAATGACAAGACATGCCTGCATGATTTATGCAGCTTCTTATGAGTTTTTAATTACGAGCTTAACTTCTAAATCTCAAGTCGGACCTAGGAATTTTGACGTGACATTCGAATCAGAATTGTGTCATTTTGCCAATTTATACATTTTACAAAATGACAAACACCTATAATCTAATTAAGTACCATCCATCCCTGTCAGAGATGATGACCTTCAAGAAACTGGGGCACCTCAAATTCACGCTCTCATTCTTTTTATTTATTTTTGTAGCTCTCAATTATAGCCAACTCCCTGCCTACAATAAAAAAAAATATTGTTTAAGAATTGCTTGTTTATTTATTTATTTTCAGTATGGATACTTAAACAGAGTCAGACGTCACGTAAATAAAACATGTGCTCGGCTCAGCCAACCAGATGTGTGGCCTAGATGAGGCTTCACGAAATCAAATGTTTAAAGGCCGCACAGACAACACCAATGTTCAAAGCTCACAGGGGATAAGGGAAATTTTTGAAGTCAATGGTTTTCTACTCTGAAAGGGGCCATCACTATGACACTTCAGGGGACTGTCCCTACATGTGAACACTGACCGAATGTTTACAGATTCTGACACTGTGAGATAAAAAAGGAAAGTGGATCTCTGGGTATCTCACAAACTATATGAAATCTAATCTAAATATTGACAATTAAAAATTGAGGTATTTTGTTAGCCAACTGCAGCAACTTTATGAGCTACTGTCTAGATAATTCTTATTTAGACTTTGTGTATGTGTGTGTTTATTTTAGAGCATTCTTTTTGGATTTCAGTAATTGATAGCTTTAGAATTATGTGGACATGGCCTTAATAACCCTATCTGGAAAATATCAAGAGAGATAAAACAAGAAATATTTTTCGAACTGTGGAGGTTAGAGTTAAGTAAGATAAAATACAGTTCCAGAACTTCCATATAAATCATGGGAATTTGTACTTGAGTTTTGCAGGCCAAGAAGGAGAGAGAAGTTAAATTTTGAATACAGTATTAAGAATACTCCAAGTGGGGAAGACTTTTCAAAAGTTCTCGGGATCAAGTGAGATAAATCACTTAATTGGCAGCTCATGGTTTGAGATGTGTAATTAGGTATATTTTTCTTATTGACTCATACATTAAAGTCATGCCAATTGAACAATGGAGGTCACCATGTAATAGCCAAGTCTAAAATGACAATCATGGGGTGCCTGGGTGGCTCAGTCTGTTAAGTGGCTGACTCTCGATTTCAGCTCTGGTCATGATCTCACACTTTGTGAGTTTGAGCCCTGCGTCAGGCTCTGTGCCGACAGTGTGGAGTTTGCTTGGGATTCTCTCTCTCCCTCTCTCTCTCTCTCTGCCCCTCTTCTACACGTTTGCACTCCCTCCCTCTTGCTCCCTCCCCCTTGACCAAAATAGGTAAATAAACTCAAAAAAAAGTAAATAAGGGATGCCTGGGGGCTCAGTCAGTTAAGTGTCTGATTTCGGCTCAGGTCATGATCTCACAATTAGTGGGTTCCAGCCCTGCGTCAGGCTCTGTGCTGACAGCTCAGAG